TAACATTTATGTAAAGCTTATAATTTGCAAAACACTTTATGTTAACTCATTTGATCTTCACAACAACCCTGTGAAGTAAATGCTACTATTTTCTCCAGGATAATATTATCCTCAGGATGTAATTATCCTCAAGAAACTGAGGTGCAGAGAAGTTAAAGTGACTCGTAGAGGGTGACATAGACTACAGGAACTAAGAGAAAGGAGAAATACTCATGAGAAATGGGGTGAAATTTAGGAAACTATTTGTAAAACTTTTCAAATGATAACACCCCATCAGGAGTTAACATGGGAAATATTATACAAGAATAACTGACGGGAATAAAAGATGAACAAACTAGGACATGTCACATTGTACTTTAATTTTTCTTGTCAGCTCTGTCAAGAAAACATGTAACTTCTGTAACCTGTAACCCTTCCATTCTATTTAGGCTAGTGCAAAGAACACAATAAGCACTGCGTGAGTAGAAGATGGCACCATTGTTTTACACAATTGGAAAACTGGATGGAAGGAATTCAGAAAAAAAGTGAATGGCTATATTTGTCACATTTAATTTTTCTTCATGAGATGACAACTATTATTCTAGCACTGATATTCTTCCAGTGATAGCATGGCTATAGGCCATGATATACCTCAATCTCCCCAAATTCAAAGTTGAGGAACACTCAAAGGGCAATGAAGACATGCATGGTGGGTGCAACTAGGTTATATAAATAATGATGATGGCTAACATTTATATAGAACTGATTATGTGGTAGGCACTGTTCTAAGTACTTTACAATTATTATCTCATTTGATCAGATAAGGAATTGTAGAAAAGTAGTATAAAGGATATCATTAGAGAAAGTATGAAACAAAGAAAAGATCTGCTGGTCATCTAGGAAGAATGAGGGGCCAACCAATGGACAGTTCATCTGCTCCACTAGGAGTGTAATGTCAAAAGAATTCAGTGAAGGTCTCAAGTATGTTTATGAATAATTTATGGGAAAATACAGATCAGAGTTACATAGGAAGGGTTGATGGGTTACCGTCTGCACAATGAGCCCACTGATGAAATCACAGATCTACTGGAGTATGGGAGTGAGGGAACCAGTTGGGTACACACAAGTAGCCACCAAAATGATTCACTAATATCTTATAGAATGGAACAAGGTGGACTCATGAATACAGATTGGTGTAGAAGAGGAAGAGATGAGTTTTATTTGCATATGGGTAATGGATTAAATCACATAGGATGGAACTATAATGAGGCAAAAGAGGAAAAGAAATAAGTCCCAGAAGAGAGCTGTAGCCAAATTTCCTTTTATCTGTGACATATCACAGGAAGATGTATCTACATAGGATGTGTTGCACAAAGAGTCTGAGATAAAGAAGAAAATGATCTTGTCTTAGATATTAGATCAAGATTTGATGAATAAGTGATGATAAACAACAAGCCACACTGAAAGCTAGAAGGAGAGAGAAACTCCTTGGCCATGTGCCCAGTGGGGACACGCTGGGCAGCAGGTGTTAGAGACACTGTGGTGAGTGAGGTCGTGTTCAGCAGAGACTACATATTAATTATTTTATTTTATTTTATTTTATTTTTTTAGGCAATTGGGGTTAAGTGACTTGCCCAGGGTCACACAGCTAGTAAGTGTCAAGTGTTTGGTCTGAGGTCAGATTTGAACTCAGGTCCTCCTGACTTCAGGGCCAGTGCTCTATCCACTGCGCCACCTAGCTGCCCCAGAGACTGCATATCTAGCGGAAACCATGTGTCTCATGGAAAAATCACTTGGTAGAGGTTATGCATCCAGTGTCCACTTGAGACAATGTGGCCAGCAGAGCAATGTCTGGCAAAGGCTGTGGTATCCAGCCCAGGCAGCACAGCCAATGGAAATCAGTGGGAGACAAGCCTGGCAACAGATGCATGATGACATTACTAGAAGACATCAGTATCAGACTAGAAGGTCCTGCGGTATCAAAGTTATGAGCTGCTCCTCCACAATGCACCTTGGCTACCTGTGCGCACATTATGTGTGCTTTTCCATATATGCAGCCTGGCAAACACATGTTCCCTGTGGGTACCCTTCCACATATGTTTCCTATGTGTGTCAACTAATCCCGATGAGGTTTGGGGTGATGGGAACCCTGAGGATGCCAGGGTGGTGTGCCTGGAATGAATTCACACACTTAAGCCATCTCTTAGTCAAGTGGCAAAGTTTATTGTAATGCTCAGAGAAGCCAGTGAAGTTGCTAAGGAACCTGCAAGCCAGTGAGGATGATGCTGGGTCTTATATGGAAAAGGGACAGGGAAAAAGGATATCAAGGATACTAATTAGGTAATCTGGAGACTTCAAAGGAATATGCCAGGGGTCCAGGTGCCTTGAGAGAAGCCGTCTGTAATCTATGGATGGGGAAATTCAGAGTCTGCAGAAATAACTCTATTGATACCAGACATTGAGAGAGAAAAGACAGTTTTTGTTTAGTTGCCAGAGGCATGGTCCTTGGGAATCTGGTGCCAGGGAGAGACCTTGGGTCAGCATCCCTGAGTCTGTTTTGATAAAGGAATTACAGGGTCATGTGTTCTGTAACAAGGGAAAATTTTCTCACAGGGGCCTACTGAGATACTGGGTGGCTTCCAGAGACATGAACTTAGGGCTGGGGCCTGAGCCCAACCACCCCATCATTCCCACTGATGGTGTGCGTATAAGTGAGAGAGTATGTCATGTATTTATTTTTTTCCTAATATATTTTTATTTCATTAAATATTTCTCAATTACATGTAAAAAATTTAACATTTAAAAAAACTTTTGAGTACCAAATTTCTTCCTCCTTTCTCCTTGAGAAGGCAAGCAATTTGATATAGATTATACATGTGTAGTCGTGCAAAACACTTCCATATTAGCCATGCTATTAAAGAAAACACAGACTCCTTCCCTCCCTCGCCCCCGCAAAAAACAAAAAAGATAGTAAAAAAAAGTATACTTTGATCTGCTTTCAGACTTCATCAGTTCTTTCTCTGGATGCAGATAGCATTTTTTTATCATGAGACCTTCAGAATTGTCTTGAATCATTGTATTATTGAGAATAGCTAAGTCATTCATGGTTGATCATCATACAATATTGCAGTTATGATGTTTTCCTGGTTCTGCTCATTTTACTTTGCATCAGTTCATATAAATCTTTTCAGGTTTTTCTGAAACCATCCTGCTCATCATTTCTTATCACTAGCACAACAGTATTTCATCACACCACGTATTTATGAAGGAAATTTTTTATTGCTACTTTTATTACCATTCTATTTCATTGAATGTTCTGTGCCTGAGTCTACTAGCTGACAATTAAAGATAAATGCGTTAATAAGTGCTCATGAACTATGATTTTTAACAGATGCAGTCCTTCAGAATATCTTGAACCTGGGAGTGAGATTCTCTGGGAAACACTCTCTCTGAATTGGGGGTCGGGTGCTCTCAGATTCTATAGACCATTAGCAATCATTTACCTGACTAAGCTGGTACCAAATTTCATGTCTCAGTGGTCAAGTAATTAATAATAGCAATAGTATCCAGCAGATGAGTGGTTTAAGGTTTGCAAAACACCTTATGGACATTCTCTAATTTTGCCTTACAACAATTAATCTTTGTTGATGGTGATAGATTAATAAGTACTGAAAAACTCTGGCAATATTGATCACAGACTAATGAAATTTAAGATTCTGAAGTGAGAAAGGAAGGAAAGAGCTAAACATCAAGAAAGTTCATTTCAAAGAGGTCAATTCTAATAACCTCAAGAAAGTCAATGAAAACTTATTTTGGGAAGGAGATTAGGCATCTCAACCAACCATTCAATTCAATAAACCTTTATTAAATGCCTTCTTAAAATGCAAGGCATTGCAGTCTATGCTGAGGATAAAAAGAAGATAGAATTTCTGCCCTCATGTTGCTTATAATATAATAAATTTTAAAAAAGGAAACTAGGAAAGGTGAACATTTCTTTAGTCTTAACACTAAAGGAAGGAAGGAAACATGCATTTGTTAAGCACCTACCATGATCCAGATACTGTGCTAAGACTTTACAAATATTTCTTCTGATCCTTATAACAACCCTGGGAGGCACAGGCTATTATCATCCTGCTTTTACAGTTGAGGAAACTGAGGCAGGTAGAGAGGTTAAATGACTTGCCTAGGGTCACATAGCAAATAAGTGTATGAGGCCAGATCTGAAATCAGGTTTTCCTAACTCTGTTTCCCAGGTTGCCTCAAGGGAGAAAAAACAAACGAACAAAAAAACTTATTCCTTTGGAAAAGATGAGTGACCTACCTAGATTGCATAAATATCAGAATTACTAATCAGAAAATCAAAAAACCGAAAATTATAAAGAAGTCACTGTGAGACAGTGTGCAAAACTCAAGACTTTTTTTTAAAAGCAGAAGCAAAACTGAAAAATGTTTTTGGAATAAATAGTTTTGATAAATCTAAAAGAAAAACTACCTTTGGTTATAAAAGTTCTTTAGGAGTTCTTTTTTAAAAAAAAAAAAAACCTTCGTCATAAAGGATGAGATGTGGTCAGACTGGGGCAGGCTTTGCCTTGGATTATAAATAAGGAAGCCCCACTAGGCCAGCATCACAGGATTCTCATTATTGGCCATTTCATTGCCTAACACTTGTGATGGGAATGCCAGGAAGCCTCTCATGTCCACACATTTTATTCTAAATTCTAACCCAAACACAATTCCTTTATCATCTACTATTGGCACTTGAGTTCATTTCCACTCCACCTGGGTAGGGCTGTCAAATAGATCATACTCTTCCATTATTGTTAGGCTTTCATGTGTTTGATGATAATGGTTTAGTAATTTAGAAATATGCCACCCTACATACAAATATAATGTGTATTAACGTTCCACTTTCACCCCTTCACCTCAGCTCACTAGCATAAGGCTCACTGCATTTCTGCAGGGCACCTAGCAGAAGTAGGGCTGCAAAGAAAATGTAAGAAAACAATTTCTGCTCCACTTACTGATTTTGCCAATTCGAACTCTCCAGCTGCATGATACGCTAAACCTAAAGCAAAGGCAGCTTCTCCTTCCATCTTTTTGTCACCCCCTAAAAAGAAAATATAGAAAATTAGCATGTGATCCAAAGAAATGGTTAAAGTAGTAAAAGTAATGAAAGCCACATTTATATCATAGCTTTTATGAGACAATATTTGTAATGTGCTTAAAACAGTGCCTGGCACATAGCAGGCACTATGTAACTACAGAAATATTAGCTAGTATTAATAAATAAATAATTATTATTATTCCTTTCTCTCATAAAGTTTCTTAATCTGGGATCTATAAACTGATTATTTTTTTAAATTATTATTCATTTTTAACATTCTTTAAAAAATTTTTGAGTTCCAAATTGTTTCCTTATTTCTAGCATCTCCCTTATTTGTAGAGAAGGCAAGCAATATGATATTAATTATACTTGTGAAATTATGTGAAACACAATCCATATTAGCCACATCACCAAAAAAAAAACAAGAAAAATAAAGAAAGTTTAAAAATTATGCTTCAATCTGCACTCAGAGTTCATCAGTTGTCTCTCTGCAGGTAGATAGCATTTTTCATCATGAGTTCTTCAGAACTGTATGAATAATTTTAAAAAATAGTTTGAGAACTTTATTTCAATATAATTGGTTTCCTTTTGAATCCTATATATTTTATTTTGTACATTTAAAAATAGTATTTTGAGAAGCGGCCCATAGGCTTCACCAGGCTGTCAAAGGAGGCCATTGTACAAAAAAGGTTAAAAGGTTCCATAACTTTACAGCTTATATAGAACTTTCCTCACAACAATCCTAGAAGGCAGACAGTATGAATATTACTACCCCCCCCATTTTATAGATTAAGACACTAAGGTTCATAGAAGGACCTTGCCTACACTCTTGTGACCATTATTATTATTGTTATTATTATTAGACAAAATGAATGTATTCTTCAAAGAAATGATATGAACACAATAGACTTTGTGATTGTTGTTTTCAAATGCAGTAGAATTTAGAGGCAGCAAGGTGGTAACTGAAGTCGGTAAGACCTATGTTCAAATATATCCTGAAACATGCACTAGCTGAGTGTGACCCTGGCAAGTCATTTAACAATTAATCAATAGTAATTAATAACATTAAGTGCCTATTTGGTGCCAAGCAGGGCAGCTAGGTGTGGCAGTGGATAGAGTTCCAGTCCTGGAGTCAGGACAACTTGAGTTCAGATCTGAGATACTTACTATCTGTGTTACCCAGGTCAAGTCTTTTAATCCTGTTTGCCTTAGTTTCCCCATCTGTAAAATGGACTGGAGAAGATAATGGCAAACCACTCCAGTATCTTTGCCAAGAAAACCTTAAATGAGGTCACAAAGTCAGACACGATTGAACACCACCAGCACCAACAAGGAATAATTAGCAAAGTTGATATCCATTTGCTTATATTCTGCTCAAAAAGGAACAGTTTCAGTAAAGCTTAATATGCTACCATCAGAAGTGTTAGCACAGGAAGTGATGGCTAGCTTTTCTTCCTATAATGAAATTCTATACATTTTCACGTAAAGTCAAAACACAATTTCATTTGTTGTTGGCCCTTTAACATCTGTCACTGAGGTAGATTCCTCATTTAAACAAAGGGCTTCCCCCACTGTATTTAAAATGGATAATCCATGAATGAGCTAATCATTCTTATCCACAACCAACACTCAATGAGTGGTGTTTAGTCATGATGTCCATTATATAGAAGACTGAAAACTTCACCCGCACCAAAATTCACTTACATCATCTTTCAGTGTACAGGGAAAAAAAAGAAAGAAATTCTTCACTGGTCTTTGGCTTAGTGTTTCAGATCTGAGTGCATTACACCTGGGAAAACTTCAAATGTGGGGATGATGGATATGGATTTCAGAGTCTATTTACACATACATAGAATCAAAGTCTTTTAATTACTTTAATTCCCCTGAAACCAAAATCTTTGGAAAAGAGAAGCAATGCTGTACTGTTGGTTCAAATAATGAATGGTAAAGCTAAAAACGGAATTTAACTTATCCATTGTTTTGTTGCTCTATTAGGTCTTGCGATTAAGTTTTGGCTATTTCTGCTATCATATTCAGGATCCATTTACAAGTAAGTGCTAAGCACTCTGAAACAAAAAGATCTCTGTTTTAAAAAGGTTGAAGTGAAAAGGAGAACCTTTTGGAATTTTTCTTAGGTTCATAAACTTAGAGCTGGAAGGGACCTTAGAGGTCATGTGGACTGGTTCCACCATTTTGTAACAGAGGAAACTGAGGTCCAGATGGGTTAAATGCCTTGCACAGGGTTACAGAGGCAAATAAAAGAGCCAGGATTTGAAAATAGTTTCTCTGACTGCAAATCCAGCATTTTTTCTACACTTATGGATTGGACCAATAATTTTTAAAGTATACCTCCTCATAGATAAAAATGGTCCAGTGGATAGAGCTCGAGGCCTGGAATCAGCAAGACCTAAGTTCAAATCCAGCCTCAGACACTTAAGATCTGTATGACTCTGGGCAAGTCACTTCATGCAGTATGCCTCAGTTTCCTCATCTGAAAAATGAGCTGGAGAAGGAAATCGCCAACCACTCCAGTATCTTTGCCAAGAAAACCCCAAATGGGGTCATGAAGAGTCGGACATGACTGAAATTACTGAACAATATCAACAAAAGCAGATTAAAAGGTCTGAAGAATTTCAATCAATAAGCTTCCTCTAAGTTAAGTCCCTAGTACTGAGCATGTTCATCAGGAAACCACAGATTGGAGCTCAAAAAGGAATGGTGTCATCACCTTCAAAAAAGGGATTTGCTCTAGTGACTTAAAATTAATATATAATCAAATACATAAAGCAAACCTAACAATGTTTCATATTTCATAAACTGTATCACTAATAATGTACAAATAATCTGATCTCGAAAGCTAATTCTTGGGAGTAAATTTGTTCCTATTGTCTTCCTCCAGGAGGAAAAAATAAAGGTATTCCCCCCCTTCACAGGATGATAAGATTATAGATTGAGAGATGGAAGATCCCTTAAATGATTCCATTCTCCTGACTTTACAGATGACGAACCTAAAGCACAGAGAAAGGTCCCATAACTATGAAGCATCTGAGGTAGAATGCAAACCTAGGTCTTCCTGGTTCCAGTTTCAGCACTTTATCCACTACATCACATTGCCTCAGACTCAAAATTCGAGTTTGGCCTCTTAGATAAACATCTGGAGTTGTTTATGAGTTATCTATAAAAATGTGATCCTATCAAATGATATAACATGGACAGTCCAGAATTCAATGAAGTCTTAAATATTTTACTATACTAATAATTCATGTTCACAAAACACAGTCATATTAACTTTCACTTGATCACTGCAAACTCCCCCAAGAAGTGCTGTTGTTCAGTCATTTTTCAGTCACATCTGACTCTTTGTGATCCTATCTGGGGTTTTCTTGGCAGAGATACTGGAGTAGTTTGCCATTTGCTTCAGCTCATTTTACAGATGGGGAAACCAAAGCAAACAGGGTTAAGTGACTTGCCCAGGGTCACACAGCTAGTAAGTGTCTGAGGCCAGATTTGAACTCAAGAAGACTCATCTTCCAGATTCCAGGCCAGGCACTCTATCCACTTTACCACCTAGCTGCACCGTTTTCCCCAGGAGTAAGCAGGTCAGATGTTATGCTCACCATTTTAGTGGTAAGGAAAATTAGGCTCAGAATCAGAACTTTAACTAGCAAATTTGACACCAAGGGCAAGCAGCATTATCAACTGTTAAAGAAAAATTCAATTGCTGCTCTTGTTGTTTTCAGGGGTGAGAGTGGAGAAGAGACCAGGAACATGATACTCATGGAGGGAGAGACCTTGGGATACCAACCCCTTCCAACGGGGTGATCACCAAAGTCAGGACGAGGAAAAAGAGGAAAGTTTGTACCCCTTTTGCTCCATCTCAGAGATGATTATTATTTTTTTAGAGTCATTTTTTTACAGGAATTTAGAGGGGTTTGGGGGAGAGCTCAAGCAAGTCACTGCTTTTACTCTACCATCTTGGCTCTGACTCAATGCTTCTCTATTATTGACTGACTCTAGGTTATCATAACTTGTGAGGATTACAGGATATAAAGCTGGAAGCAAATTCTGAGAATTTTTCATCTGACCCCTTGCACTTTTACAGTTGAGAATATGAAGGCTCAGAAGGGTGGTGACTTGCCCCAAGGTCAGATAGCTGATAAGCTGAAGAACAGGGATCTGAACCCAGTACTTCTCACTCTAATGCTAATGTTTTTTTTCTCTTATAACACACTCCCTTATTTGAATTTCATGAATTAATATATCATATAAATCTGTTCTTGGGCTTCTGTCTTTATATTATATGTATATAAAATGTCAACCTTCATAGAACTACTTTTTATGCTGTTTGTCTTAAATTTATAGGTAATACTCAGATAAATTTACCTATTTTACTGAAAAGATCACTGAGTTCCCTGTAACAACTGAACCTCAGTTTCTTTCCTTTTTATAATGCCCTGATGCTTATGTACAATGAAAGCATATAACCTCAGGGGAAAAAAGTCTTAACTGCCATAAATGACCCTAACTTCTGATTACCAGCCCCTTGTTTTACAACGTTGTTCCCAGAAGATGGCATTTTTGGAGATAAAGCTTTCAAGAAACTAATGGATTCCTTGTGGTCAGCAAGAAGGCACTTTGGTTTTATAGTGAAATTTGGAAGTATATTGATGGCATTTGTCTTTGAATTTCATTGGAAATAATCACCCAGTCAAACACTTGACAATTTTTACTTTGCTCCTGGGAAAGCCCAGAATGGTGCATTAATGGAAGGAAAGTATATATATTTTTTCCCACCTACCTTCTTTGGCTTTTGCACAAGCTTTCAGTAGAGTCTTGATAGCATGTTTGTATTGTTTGTCATTCAGCATTCTTTCTGCTAGCATCGTGTAGATCCTCCGGAGATTTTCACAGGCCGTGGAGTGGAGATTGTGGCCGCTCAAGTCTTGCCATAACCGTCCCTCTGTCATTTCATGGAAGGTTTCATAACGCTCAGCAGCTTCTTCAAGATGACCTGAAGAACGAAAGTCATTCATAAATACAAACTGGGCAGAGCCTACCCTGCTTAAAATTTTGTGTATGTGTGCAGGCCAGAGGATACAGAATTACTGAGGTTGTGGTGATGAAGAACGTGGAAGGGCTGGCAGGTGAAGCAAGATGGCTAAGGATTTTGGATACCTATGAGTGGGATTGTTTAAAGGGTGACAGCTGGGAAGGAAGGCCAACCCAACAGGACCTTGAATTCAGCCTTGTCTTTTGCTAGACTCATGGGCAGTCACCTCTGAGAGATTTACTTTGGCAAGTATGACTTGAGATGGATCAGTTATCTTTGGGGGCCAGTTTGAGGGTCCTGCCATTTTGTATTGATCATCATAATGAAACCAAATATCCATTTTCCAATTTTTAGTTTTTTTGATAAGGGACCAATTGATCATAAATTCCAAAACAACATTTCAAAGTACTTTACCACAAATCTGACTAAAGATTACTTCTAAGAAACAGTTTTATTCCCCATTCCATATTTGTGGAAATTGAGGGAAGCTTAACTGATTTGGCAGAAATGTGTAAAAATACAGCAAAGGAAAGCCAATACTTAATATTGCCTCAGGCCATTTCATTCCTTAAAAATGTTAAGTAAACTTGTTTTCTAGATTGGTCATTTACAACAGCACAAAACTAATTATATTTTACTCACACATCCATTACTTTGTGGAAATGAATAAAAAAATTGTGGTGGCCAATGAAATTTCCTAATTGGGATTCTCTAGGAAGCCATCCCTGAACCACAGGCAGCCCACATTTCTGATGCTGCCCACAAAAATTGCCCTTTCTTCCCCAAATTGAGTCACTTACAATGGACCAGGCTAGTACTATTATTTTCTTAAAGTATAATCATGCCTTCTGTTGTCAGAGGGTACAAAAATTTGGCTGAGTCTCCATGAAATCCTTTATCGTGGTTGGTAAAACCTGTCTAGATAGACCACATCTCATGTTCTCAGAAAAAAGTTACTATTTTATTCAGATAGTGGTCATGGAAATAGCTATGTCCTATTAAAATTTCCGTTTTATAAATTATGTCAAGATTACATGAATAGATATGAAAACCAACACAATGCAAAGATTATAACTTCTCCGTCTTTGTTTATAGTAACCACAAGGAGGTGGTGAAGGTGACAGAGGAGTCACTAAATTTTAGTAAATATTCCTGAAACTCCATAAAGCTGGGGCCCCTCATTCAATTTAATACAGTAACCTTAAGATTCAAGGTACCCCTCTGGAGAACATATTTACACATGATTCCTGATAATGCTTTATTTCATCCCATGGAAGCATCTCTCTTCCCAGGCCTTCATAGGCCTTGCCTGCCTAGTATACACAAACCTACTTTGAGCCAGTGGCTTAGTGGATAGAGCACCGGGCCTGGAGTTCATAATCCAGACTCAAACATTTCCCAGCTATGTGACCCTGGGCAAGTCACTTAACCTCTGATTGTGGGCCAAATGGGTCCACTAAATCCGCTGGAGAAGAAATGGCAAACTACTTCAGTATCTTTGCCAAGAAAACTCCAAATGGGCTCACAAAGCACTGGACATGACTGAAAGAACTGTACAACTGTCACCAGAGTAGAGCACCATAATTTAGAAGCCTGATCCAAGGATAATGATCAACTTGCATTAATATAGCACCCTAAAGATTACAAAGCACTTTGCTCACAACAACCCTGAGAGGTGAGTACTGCAAGTAAGATTATTATAACAGTTTTACAGCTGAGGACATTTGAGCTCATAGAGGTAAAGTAATTTAGCCAAGGTCCTACACTACAGTTAAGTGTCAAAACTTAGACTCAGTCAATTTTCTGATACCTTGACCAGCTTTCTTTCTACCACACAATGTTGTAGAAACCATGATAGAGAAGAAAACTTTACAATAATGAATCAGGAGTCAGAAGGCCTGAGTTCTAGTCCTGATTTTGCCACTGGATAAATATTAGACCTTGGGCAAGACACTATAGGTTTCTGAGTTTAATTTCCTCATCCGTAAAATGAAGGAGTTGATGAAATGTTTTCTAAGGCATTTATGATTTAATTTGATTCAGCTGTCAATTGGATCTTCCTAAAATGTAAGTCTAACCTTGCCACCTTAAATCCCCCATGCCCTTTCTTCCATTCAATCAATTCCAGTACCGTCTTGCTGCTTACAGGATAATAAAACATAACGTAAAAAATAATAAATAAAAACAAATAATAAAAATAATTTTAAAAATCCTCTGTTTGACTTGACCCCTTCCTACCTTTCCAGCCTTTTTAGATCCCCCCCCCAACCTCTTCCCCTTTGGTGTACTCTGCAATCCGGTGACACTGACCTCCTCCATGTTCCTTGCACAAGACACTTCATCTCCTGACTCTGGGCATTTTCTTTTCTTTCTTTCTTTTTTTTTTTTTTTAGGCAATTGGGGTTAAGTGACTTGCCCAGAGTCACACAGCTAGTAAGTGTCAAGTGTTTGGTCTGAGGCCGGTCCTCCTGACTTCAGGGCTGGTGCTCTATCCACTGCACCACCTAGCTGCCCCTATTCTGGGCGTTTTCACTGGCTGTCCCCCAGGCTCAGATTTCTCTCCTGCCTCATCTCTACCTCCTGGCTTCCCTAGCCTCCTTCAAGTCTCCGCTAAAATCCCACCTTCTGCAAAAAGCCTTCCCTGATCCCCTTTAATACTGATGCTTTCTCTCTGTTGATTATCTCTAAATTATCTTGCAAATAACTTATTTGTATGTAGTTGTTTGCATGTTGTCTCCCTGTTAGACTGGGAACTCCTTGAGGGCAGGAACTGTCTTTTGCCTTTCTTTGTATCCCCAGCACTCAGCACAGTGCCTGGCCCAAAGTAAATTCTTAATAAGTGCTAGTTGACTGATTAGTATTTTTTAAACATTTCACGATTGTAATAAGATCAGCATAGGTACACCAGTAGCTAATGCAACTTCCAGGGTAGATGTGGGTAGTAGAAATGGCACTCATGAATTAGGAGGAATAGAACTGGATTTGGAATGCTTTGGTTTGAATTCCACATCTGCTGCTTACTGCTTGGGCCATTACAGAAAAGAAGTGTTTCCTCTCTATGCCTCAGTTTCCTTAATTATAAAATGAGGGAATTAGATTAGATGATTTTCTAAGGCCCTGTCTAACTCTAATCCCCATTGTTCTAAGACCTCATCTTCTTCTAACTTGGCATCTTTACAAGTACAGGATAGTGCCTTGAACTGGGTGGCCAGATAAGGGGACCTACTCCTAGTTCTAAATTCCCTAATTTTTCTTGGCCTATTCTTTGTCTGTAACCACCATATCCATCGAATTTTCTCAGATTCCTCATAATCTTGGTTCTACTCTCCCTCTCTCCCCCCTTGATCATCTGTGACTATATCCTGACATTTTGTTTACTCCTCCCTTGTCGATTTCCTTTTTGCCCACTAATGCTAATCCTTAGGTGTTTCAGACCAGCTGTGAACTAAGGAATACAGATTTTCTGTTCCTTTAAGAAGCATAAATTCCATTTTGAAGAGTCCAGGGGCACAGAAAAGAGTCAGTAAATGGACTTGCAAAAACTTGGACCCTTTGGTTATAACCATACAATGAAATTGACTTTGACTGCAGAAGGTCTTGTCAGAATCCTAGGGTTAGATATTACAATGTGATAATATTTGTGAATAAAAAATTAAGCTATTTATCTGTTTTTTGTATGTTCGTTTTGCTTTGTTTTGTTTTGCCCAGATGTGATGTTATTTCATTGGTATTGGGAACTCATGATCTGGAAATTTACTTCATTAAATGTCAACTGTCAACTTGTCTTATAACTTACGGTCTTAGTTGCCTGGGGGGCATTAAGAGGTTATGATGTCTACAGGCATACATCTAGTATGTACCAGACATAGGATTTGAACCCAGATCTTCCTGACTTTAAGACCAGACTTAAATCCAGTCTGCCACAATACCTCAAATATCTACAGTACATAAAAAATCTAACAGATTTAATTCCCAGCAGTCTCTCTGATCATATTTGCCATTTCTTTTTCAAACAATAAACAATAAAATTTAAAATTAGAATTTTATGAATAAAAGCTTATGCTTTAAAGTATCACACAAACTATAGTGTTCTTATTTAAAGTTAAATCTAAATAAGATTATAACTTTAAATAAAATTAATTGAAAATTTGAAAAATTAGTGTAGCTACAAGGAGCTTGGCAAATGACCATTAATATGGTTGCCACCTTGTTAAGAAATATGTAGATGCAGATGTGAGGAATTAAATTCTATCTAATTTAGTTCAACAATGATCCATTAAGTGTCCAACAGGTACAGAACACTGTACCAGGTGCTATCGATACAAAGCCAAAAATAAAACAGCACCTTATGTTCTAATGTATAGCTCAAAGAAGAGAGATTTTTTTTTTTCCCATTGGTTTATTGATTCAGTTTGGTTACTTTTTACCATGTACCCTGCATAGGTCAATTTGTCAGTGAAAAAACCTTTAATGTATAAATAAGACACCAGGTAGGAGCCCAGGTCCTTGTCCTCATACACCAGAGTAACATGGATTAACTTGATTAGTTCTCCTTCCCTGGACATGTCTATTGTTGACTTCTTCTTTCATTAAGAAAGGACAGAGAAGCAAGAAGGTTATATCGGAAAATCAATGGCATAAAAGCAGAAAGAGAGAAAGCAGGTCAGGAAAGAGAACTCGGAAGTATTTCATGGATATGGAGAGATGAGTCTTCAGGGTGTTGCTTGAGGAAATAGGAACAAATCTCTCACAATCATTACTATGAATCTGAGGATCTCTCTCTCTTTATGTATGTATGTATGTATGTGTATATATATATGTATATGTATATATATATATATCATATATACATATACATATAATCCATCCACCTACTCACCCACACATCCATCTACCTATCTACCTACCTACCTACCTACCTACCTACCCATAGCAATGATATTTATTTATGTATTCATTTA